ACTACAGAAAATAGTTTGGAAGTTTCTTAGAAAGCTAAACATGCACTTCCATATGCCCCAGCAAACCTACTCCTAGGTATATTTACTCAAGTGAAATGAAAACTTAGGTTTGTATACAATGTTTATAGTAGTTTTATTTAATTGCCTAAAACTGGAGGGCAAATATCCTCCAATTGGTGAGATACACCAATAACAAGGAACAAACTGAAGATATATGTGACAACAGGAATGAATCTGACATGCATTCTGGCAGTAAAAGAAGCCAGATTAGAAAAATTTTAATAATAAATTGGCATGGTGATTATCCAAAGTTCATGCATTTATCAAAATTCAGAACTGTATACTAGAAAAGGGTAATTTTACCAAACTAAAAAAAGAAGGAAAAAAAAAAAAAACTACAGGTGCATACAATATAAAATGACTTCCAAAAACATAGGACTATAGTATGCAAGAACAACAAAATATAATGTTTAGAGATACCTGTTTAGGTGATATAACCAAGATGAAGGGCAAGAAAGCAAACTCCGTTTAAGAGAAAGGAAAATGGTTAACCTTGAGGGGGAGTGAAAGGGCAGAGATTGAGAAGGGGTGTAAGTGTTGGGGGATCTTCTGGTGTACCATCTTTGTTCTAATTCTTTTTCTGGTGGTTACATGAGCAGTTGCTTTCTGATAATTCACTGTGCTATCATTTACATTTTATATCATTTTAAAAGCAAGCAAGGCACATAAACTCAGGGTATATTATAAAAGAATAAAATAATATATATTTTTCAGAGGCAGGAAGCACTCCTGGATTCATACCTTGGCTACACCATTTGTTAGATGTGTGACTTTAGGCAGCTTTCTGAACCTTTCTCAGTCTCACTTTACTCATCTGTATAATGGGAAATTTTAACCTGCCTCATAATTATGTGAATTAAGTGGGATTAATGTAATTTTTCCTTGAGGGTATCTGCCTAGCTTCCAAGTTTATTTTGGAAAGTTCATCTTATCCACCTGGGGATGGCCCTCCAGTAGCCTAGATTTTGTGTTAAATGACCCCACTACCGCCCAGCTGGGTCAGAGGTGAGCAACTGACTCAAGCTGTGCTACTCAAGAATGAAATATGGAATGAAGAATGAGCAACTTAATTCTCTAGTTGCACTTATTCATGAATCTTTGTTCAGTCGCTAAGTTGTGTCCAACTCTTGGCAACCCTATGAACTGCAGCACACCAGGCTTCCCTGTCCATCACTATCTCCCTGAGTTTCTTCAAACTCATGTCCATTGAGTCAGTGATGCGATCCAACCATCTCATCCTCTGTCACCCTCTTCTCCTCTTGCCCTCAATTTTTCCCAGCATCAGGGTCTTTTCCAATGAGTCAGCTCTTCACATCAGGTGGCCAAAGTATGATGAATAGAATGGATATAAAGCTCCAGAAGGGCAGTGCAGACACATTCTATGCCCTACATTCAGAGCAGGAGAGAAAGAAAAGTCTAGAACAACACATAGACACATTTTTGACTGATTTCTGCTTCCTGATTCCAGTCACTTACTGGAAGCTACCCTTGGGTCCCATAAAACACAGAATATCTATATAAGAGGTATCTTTAAGGAAATAATGCTAGCTCAGGTTGGATTCTATTATTTTCAATCCAACAAGGCTAGGCAATAGTCCTTATATAAAGCATGAAGCACAGAGAAAAGGCTCAAAATCTAGAAACTGTGGCAGGAACTTTCTGATCTTTGAACTCCTATATAAGCTGCAGACTTCCTTACCCAGCCCTTGAAAGAGTTCTACTCTAGTGTCCAAAACACAGACTGACCTTGTTAAGGTCATTTTCATCCCTCTATCTATAAGAAATCTGTAAGAAAAGCATCCAGCTCAAATTTCCAGTTAGATTCAAAATTTTCAATTGCTAAAGACTGCCTCAAGAGAGAAAGAAATTCTATAGTATGACAGAATAAAATTACAATAAAAAATTAATAGAATCAAGTGCCTAAATTTAAAGCATAAAGCAAAAGTCAGACATAGTAAGATGTCACCTAACCAACCAAGGTAAAAATTGAGTATTTATACTTGATATTGTCCAAGATTTCATTATTTCTTGGGTAATGCCTACAGAATTTACACTTCTACATTTTAGTGTGGGTATTTTTACATTCACAAGCTAAAGGCTATTTTCCCCATATAGTAGGGTACTCTGGTACACCAAGTAATGCTGACATGGACTTACTATTATATTCTAGAAAGTCCAACTGTTTGAGGCTGTTTGTCTGCTTATTTATCAAAGTCAACCTATACACTGGGATAAAATAGTTCAGAATCAAGTTATATAAGGCAAGCTTATTGCAACCATCCGTTATTTTACCTCATTTGTTCTTATAAATAAACTAAAAACACAATAAGACACATGGTAACACAAGTCTTGTCGCTAAGGTTATGATTATCACTGAAGTATATGACTGTACCTTATTCATATAATACGTGTATGTTGGAAGACATAAAAAAACAATTATTTCATATAGCTACTTCAGTCAAGTTTATGTACTAATGTTCTCCATCATATTGGATTTTGGTTTAGCTTGCTCTAATACACAAAATATGAAATATGGACAATCTGAAAAATGAGTTCCATTATTTTCCTAATATATGTAGAAAGTATTATTTTTAAAAGCTTAACTGTCGATTTTAATAACAGTAATTGTATTGGTGTTTTAACCTAAGATCTGTAAAATTACATATGCATTCAAGCCCATAATTTCCTTAATAAAGTAGCTTTTTGTGATAGCTGATTTCTTAATATACTTTTCTCTAAACAAACATCCAACTTCCACTCATACTTGCATATAAATAACACCTCTAATAATGAGACAATATTTGTATCACCCAAGAAAAAATTTCTGGAATATGTTAAGAATTGAATCCTCCTAAATTAATTAGATAACAAGTATCAGTAATTATGAAACCATCTGCGAGCAATGTTCTAAATAAAATTTATTCATAAACACTAGAGGGTGCTCTAATTCAACAGTGTCTGCTCATTGTTGAGTATCTGAAAGCAACAACCCTGTTAATCAACTACATTACAATATAAAACAAAAATTAAAAAAATAAAATACAGTGCCTGATATCTGGCCTTGATGCTTAAAATAAATTTCTCCTTAATTAAAGATAAATGAAGATAATTATCAGCACCAACAACTTTTGCTTTCGAACTATATATAGAGATACTTCATGAGATAAAATTTCATCTTTCCAGAATATATAATAAAATTTAGTAGAATTTCACTGAAATCATTTTTATTGCACAATTATTATATTTACTACTGTGTTAAGTGAACAGAATAGAAAATAAGTACAGAGGAAGTATAAAGACAGTCCTTATCACTAATGCAATATTCAGATGATTAACAAAAGGTGTATCCTGTATATTATGGACTTAGGTTCAAGGAAAATTACAAAATGAATCTGGTAAAAGACATACAGTAGCTCAATTTCAATTGCTAAGTATTAAGGTATAGTTTAGCTATTTTACAAAAGTAACTTGAAACAGTATTTAAATAATAAATAAAAGTAATATTGTCAGATATCATCTGTTGTCTCAAGAAAATATTTTTAAAGCCAACAGACATAGGAAATTGAAAACAAAAAAAATCTAGACTTTGAATATCATAATAGGAAATAATAGAATTAATTTCAAATCTTCATTAAGAAATACATTTACTGCTAGCTTTTAAAATTTATTTCTAAAACATTCACAACCTCAATTACAAATCTTTGAAATTTTCAAAATTTAAAGTAATTTATGTGTTGCCATTTAGCAATCCAGGAAAGCTCCCTGAAGTATGTGTTTCCAATAGACAGCATTAAACAATTCCAAATAACGAAGCTGAATGGCAAACAATATTGATTTCTAAGCATTTCAAGAAAATGGCTATTAACTGAGACACTACTTAACCCCAACAAAGTATGTTGCCTTTAAAAATGTTTACAGAGAAGAAAAACAGAACAGCATCTATACTTCTAAAGTCACATAGCCAAAATCAACCAGCCTCTCTCAGTCTCTCACTCCCTTTCACACACACACACACACACACACACACACACACACACGCATGCACACACTGCCCACTCACACACAATTCATTCCTCAAGAGGAAAGTACTTGGCTTATACCTACTTCTCTTTCTCTCATTCCTTTCCCTAACTAATAACTAAGGGACCCCAGAGAAATCCTGAACAGTGGCACCTGTTCATAAAAGGCCACTTCAAATTTACAACAGCCCCAGATAAACTGTTTAATAGAACACAACACCAGACAAAAGCCAGAGATAGGCCTGAACCAGACTCATAAACCACCCAGACTCTGGGAAACAAAATACACGGCAAAGAACTAATCAGACTGCTGGAATCCAGAGAAATCCTGAAAACAGAAGCACTGTGCTAGGGTTTGAAGTATACGTTTGGCATCTATATTCTCCTGGCACTCATCTCCCCTTTCTATGTTTATCTGCCTTGCCTCTGCCAGATTCCTAGGGCCTATTATACTCTAAATGCCCAGCTGTCAGCTTCCCTATTCAGTATTACGTCATTTAATACCTTCTACTTCAATAGGTGACAACATACACATTTGTTAGAAAGTATTAATGTCTGAAAGTTATGAAGGTCTTCTGAACCATCATATACACCTCTACTGACAGAAAAGTATGGCTCAAAGATAATCAGTTGTCAGGAAGGTTTTAGTCTTTTTAAAAGCAAGTCTGAATTCACACTACTTACAAACATCATATTTTGGAGCTACAACATAACCCTGATCAAGATCTTATAGCTTGTCACTGATATTTAGAGCTTTTGCCCATTAATCTGAAAAGCAAAGAACCAACCAAAGTGAAGAATGGGCAGAAAGGTGCAATTTTATTTATAAATACTAATATTCATCTCATTATTATATCACATAAAAATTTACAAACCATGAGACTAGAATACTCTATTCAAAAAATAATTTAAGATGAATACCTGCTTTCCATGACTCCTGAATCTGGCTGCAAACTAAGAGTCTCTGTTGTAATTTCCACTTTACGTACACTTCCAAAGAAATCAGTTATCAGGACATTTTTAGGATCCCTCTGAAAAAGATCAGTGCGGTGTCCAGGAGTAGACACACACAGACTTTTGGGGCACACCTGAAACTGAAAAAAATACACATAGCAATAATAAATACACATACTTACGTATTCAAATAGCTTATATTAAACTCATTAACACAACATAGTAGACTGTAGTATATTTTTAAAACTCTCCCAACCTAAAGAAGATTAAAGATTGTAGTTCTAAAGATTAAACTTTCATTGCTACTGTACTGCTTGACACTTTAAGAAAACTTTACAGACATTAGAATAGGTTATTGATAAAACAGGAAGCTGGCCAGGGAGGAAAACAAACATTCCCTTTTTTAAATCATATGCTACAAAGTCTGAAAGCAAAAGTGTTAGTCCCTTAGTTATGTCCAATTCTTTGAGAGCCCATGGACTGGAGCTCACCAAGCTCCTCTGTCCATGGGATTCTCCAGGCAAGAATACTGGAGTGAGTAGCCATTCTCTCCTCCAGGGGATCTTCCCAACCTAAGGACTGAACCCAGGTCTCCTGCACTGCAGGCAGCTTCTTTACCATCTGAGCCACCAGAGAAATGTCTGAGAATTCACAGGCAACATTATGACAAGAGAACTGCTTTTTTCTGCATCTATATCCATCTCAGTAGAATGCTTTTACCAGAGCAATTTTTTAAACATTTTGCAATCATGACCCTTCATTCAAATTTTAAATTCCAATAAAATACTCCATAATAGCCAAGTATGTAAAGAAGATAAAATTATAGCTGCTCTGGACTGCAAGAAGCTGAAGCACAGCCTCCTCACTATCCATCCCCCTGTCTTCCTGCTGTGAAACTAAACTATTCTAAAAATCAGGTACCTTTCTTAATTTATCCATAATGAAAACCATAAACCCAAAGCACCTCAAGACACCCTAGTGTTCCAAGGAACAGTCTGAAAACTACAACTTCATCACTACACAAAACTCACAATAATTTTTAGGTCAATCTTATTCCTAATATTCCACACCAGTGAACTGCCAAGGACCCCTACAGGACATTTGGTCCATGTCAAAAGGTCCTCAATATTTGGTCCTGTCCAAAACCATCTGGCATGAACTAAATATGCTCATGGACATTCGGACAAGCCAAATTTCAAGGATCCTTTGCCATGGACCAAATGTCTTATGGACATGTTGGGCAGGATCAAATGTCTGCTAACCCCAATGCCAGATGCATGTTCATTCACTCAGCAAAGCATAAGAAGTGCCCATTATACATATGTCATATGGTTACCTTTTATAGAGGATACAAAGATTGATACGACTTGGGTCTTCTCTTCAAGTCTAGTCAGAGATGAATAAACCTAACAAGGTAGGGAAAAAAGGTAACAAGTTCTAATTCAGAAAAAAATAAACTTCTAAGTGTCTGAGGATAAGAAAAAAGAGGGAGTGGGACTAAGCTATTTTTTGAAAGAAAAAGGAAGATTACAGATGGGAAATAAGAGCACTTCTAATAAAGGAGCGGCTATAGAGATGTGTAAGGCAAAGAACCCAGCTTGGCAGAAGCCCAGGCTATCTGAAGAAAACCATTACAAGCCCACTAGTAAAGGCCCAGAGGCCACAGCACTTGCCCACCTGTGACAACAAGCCTATGGGCACCACATGACAGGAGAGGAACGGGGAGGGGCAGAGCAACTCTAATTTATGGCACGCAGTGTTCCAAGAACCGTGCGAAGCGGCCTGCAGATATTAGCATTTAAGTTTACCAATAATTTTGAGGCATACAAAAATTATTATCTCCCCTTCAAACTAAAGCTCAAAGAGCTTAAGTAATTTGTGTAACATCACAGTGCCATCCAGATTCAGGAAAGCAATAACAGGAAATAAGAAAAGTTCATAATATAAATTAAGAAGTAAAGGAGGAAAAAATGGGTAGGGGAAGGCTAAGAAAGTGAAATGTCAAACAAGGACAAAAAAGATGGAAGGCTGAAGAAACAAAGTAAAAGGTAAAATAAACAAAGATAAAATTAAAGTTCTAGGTATATTGAAGGTATTCCTGTGTGAACAACCTGGTGGGCTTTGTTAAGTACACAATAAACATTTTCTTCCTTGCTGCTAAAACACAAACAAAAAACATCCCTTCACTTTTTTTAAAAAACTGAATTATAACTGACACAATTACATTAGTTTCAGATGCACCACATAGTGATTTGCCATTTTTGTACATTATGAAATGGTCACCATGAGAAGTCTAGTTACAACCCGTCAGCACGCAAAATTATTAAAATATTGACTATATTCCCTATGCTATACATTACACTGCTATGACTTATTTACTTTATAACTAGAAGTTTATATTTCTTAATCCTCTTTACCTATTTCACCATGCCTCCCCTTAACTCACCCAGCTGACAACCATCTGTTATCTCTGTCTCTGACTCTATTTCTGTTTTATTTTTTAGATTCCACATATAAGTGATAGCATACAGTATCTGTCTTTTCTCTCACTTATTTCACTAAGCATAATACCCTCTAGGTCCATCCATGTTGTTGCAAATGGCAGAATTTCATTATTTTCTTTGGCTGAATAATATTTCATTGTATATATATATATATATATATACCACATCTTTACTCATTCATCTATTGGTAGAGACTTACAGTTGCTTCCATATTCGGCTATTGTAAATAATGCTGCTATGAACATCGAGGTGCATGACAGTATTTTTCCCTATTCTGTATTCTTACTTCCCTCACTGTAAGTTAATTTAACAAATAAGCAAGCATGGGTTTATTTCTGGACTATCTATCTGTTTCATTATTCTCTGTATCTGTTTTTGTGCCAGAACCATACTGTTGTTAATTACTTTTTTAATTTGAAGATCTAATTGACTCTATCAGGCCAATTCATGAGTCAGGCAGCATCCCATCCAGCAACTCAAAGGGTTCTCCAAGGGGTTGTACAAAATAGGTTTTCATAGGAAGAAAGGTAAGGCAAGGTAGCTATTAGCAAAAGAAAAAAAATTCTTTTTAGGCCAAGATATCTTCCTTTTTGGGGGGAGGAGCAGTAGAAAGGCAAGAGTTTTATCATGCAAACTGCCTCTGGGGTGATGGGGGATAAAGAAAGACCACAATGTTTTTGCTTAATTCCCATGACACCAGAGATGCTGGTTCCAGGTTCATAAATTTTAAGTTGGTCATACTTCTTCATTCCATTTCTGACCTTCCAGTAAGGGAGATCATTTGCTTGGTGGTCAGCAGCTGTGAATATGAATTTAAAGCTTCTGAGAAAATACAACCCGCCATGGGGATTACTTTGATTATTATAAGCAGGATTATCCCCAATGCTTAGAATGCAGTTCAGAGTCATGGTCCACAATACTCAAACCAACCAAAGACCCCACTGAAGGAGTTAGCCTTTTAAGCCAACTGGCTTGCTCAGTGATCTTATGTAATGGAGTTTCACCTTCCATAGAAGTGTCCATCCAGGTATAGCAGGTAATACTAGGCAAAGCACAGACACCTCCTGGTTGACCTAAAAGATAATCAAGGGCTATTCTATTATCAAGAACAACTACAGCCACAGCCTAAGAAAGCCTTCCAGGCAGCTAGTGCTTTCACAATGGGTTCTGCAACAATCTCAAGAGTTACGGAGAGGCTTCTGATCATTCTTTTTTATTTACTCCTAATTGGGGAAACTAGCCCTGCCAAAGGAAGCAATTTCAAATCCTAAATATCTCCTGGTGGGTCCTTTCCAGAACAGACAGGGGCACAATTAGATAAACTAAAAGGTATTATCTGCTTATATACCAGTCATCTAGGCATTCATAGACCCAAGGAAAATAACCATCACAACAAACCAAGACAAATCCTAACAGGGCACAAACTACTTCCACTTAGGTGGCACTGTTAATGGATTCATTTGCAAGTTCTGTTGCTTTTGCCCATTCAAGCAAATGGTCAGTTATGTTTTCTCCTAATCTAAAATAAAAAGTTATTCTAAATACCAGAGGTTATCCCTCTAAGCAATGGCTTGGGAGATATGGATGACATAGTTATCTTTCCAGGTCAATGCCAGACTAAAGAAGGGAAAGCAAGGAAGAAGAGCTTTCAGTTAAAGTATGAAGTATCGATCTGTCATCACGGGCAGAAGCAGTCTATGTCAATGTGAGTTATTCCTCTTTTTTGTCAGGTTGATTCGGAGGTCTCCAGCATTTGGACAGGACCAGATGGCAGGTAGACTCCTCCTTGGCTGTGAGATGTGTACCCAGGGCTAAATACCTCTTAGTTTTGCAGCGGTGTCAGCGGTTAGAAACACTTGGTAAGGTCCCTCCTGAAGGGGCTCAAAGGCTGGCTTTGTTCCTGTGCTCGGCTGTGCTGCGCTTAGTCTCTCAGATGTGTCCGACTCTTTGTGACCGCATGGACTGCAGCCCGCCAGGCTCCTCCGGCCATGGGGCTTCTCCAGGCCAGAACACTGGAGTGCATTGCCATGCCTCCTCCAGAGGCTCTTCCCAACTCAGGGACTGAACCCACATCTACCGCATTGCAGGCAGACTCTTTATCGACTAAGCCACCAGGGCAGCCCAAGAATACTGGAGTAGGTAGCCTATCCCTTCTCCAGGTCAACTTCCCAACCCAGGAATCAAACCAGGGTCTCCTGCATTGCAGGTAGATTCTTTATCAGCTGAGCTACCAGGGATGCCCGCCTTTGTTCTTAGTGATTTCAAATCAAAACAGTGAGAGGAAACTGGAAACGTTAATTTGGTGAGTCATCGTCATCTGAGGAAATTAAATGAATCTGGGATCACTTTCAGTTTACAGGTACATAACAAGACCAGAAAGACAACTAGAGTCCACTATCTATAAAGGTACAAATGTAATTTTTCTCTCTCTGTTTATCCCATTTTTTAAACCAAGATAATCACAGTAAAACTAATTTGTCTGTATTAAACTTGGCCTGATTTTTACAGAAGTGCAACAAGAATAATGATTGACCATGTAAGTTCTTTTTTAAGATTGCATCACTGGAACTTTGTAAGCAAAGTACCAGGTTGATTTTTCCTAACAGTTTTCTTGAAGCTGTCTGGTCATATCTGAG